CGAGAGGTTGGAGGTTTTGTGGAACCACCGCTTAATTGCTGTTGTTCCCAGGTCCACCCTGATCCGGGGTGGTAGCACCTGTTAGGATCCCAGCTATGGGCAAATAGTTATCCCCTCAAAGAAAACAAAACACTATGAAAGTATAAAAATACATTTTATAGTAAAAATACCAAGGATACTAGCAAATTGTAGCGACTTTACTGAAATCCCTTTAAAATACTACCAAATAACCAACATGAAAGAATTCTTCCATGGCATAATATTCTACAATTTCTTAAATCAAACTGTATTCCAACAAACGCCAACGCCTCTAATAATCGTGTACACACATACACGTATATGCACAGAAACTGTGTATATATCATGTATTCAGTTATGAATGCAGAATAACATATATCATATTTTATTATTTCCAAGCTTCAAAGAAAATTAAATTTCGACATTAAAAGACCCATAAGGAGTTGATATGCCGTTGAATAGACAAATTAATCAGACTTTCCAATATTGATAATGAAGTCTTTCTTTTTAAAAGGTGTGACTTCCACACATTTTGTTACAGAATATTTGCACCATTTTATCTTCGCCATGTTTCCAAGTGGTGGGGGTTTGTTCCAATAAAATGACGCAAAGATAAAAAAAAAATACACAATATCCCATAACGAACTTAAAATATACAACGAATATAAATTAGAAATAATTCCCTAAACCATGTAATAGATGAATGAAACTAACTGCAGATTTTTTAAATACCAATACTAATAAAATAAAAACACGATTAGACTATTCTACAGAAACCAACTACCACAAGAGAAACAAAGAAATGATATGAAAGCTTATTAATCTATACATATAAGTTATTGATTAAAAGACAGTATTTACTATAAAAACTAAAATAAAAATCACCATCAAGCATATAAAAATAATTATAATTCAATCGACACATACATTGGTTACAAAAACACTATATTATTGCGCCGATTAAATTGTCATTTATCTTTAATAACTCATATCACCAGCCAACATGAAAGTAAAACATCACAAAAACCAAAAATACTATACTATATAGACTATGGAAAAAGGAATACAAATATAAAAAACACTTAACGATAAAACCAAACCCAACGACAATAAATTTCCCTTCCGTTTAGTGACGCACAAACTAACTATATGACACGATACTCCGAAATAACGCGTGAAGACGAGAGATTTAAAAAATTCCAACATGATCCCCATTGACATGTGAAGGCGTATGACTTAAAAACAAAGAAATACAGGGTGTTTCAAAAAATTTGATATCATTTCGCAATGTAATAACTTTGTTAGATCTCCTTCAAATGACTTCAAATTTTGATAGCATCTTTATGTTTAATGTTTGTTTTAGGTTTTTATGTCTTTATGTTTTTGTGTTTTTCTTATTTGTATTTTTATGTTCTTTAATCTTTAATCTTTTTCTTTCCAGGTATAAAAATGCCGTGTCTCAGGCGGTGTGCATATTGAACATTTGTGAAATCGTTCACATAATCCACATGCTTTTGAATTTCTCCTTCAGATTTGGAAGATTAAATCTTATGATCTTCAACATTAATACTTTTTAATTTCATTTGCCTTATTCATGTACTTTCTGTGATATTTACATCTCAAAGGATATCAATGTTTTTGAAACATCCTGTACAATGCCTATAGACACAGCACAATTATCTCAGAAACGTTCTTTGATAAGGCCTTATGAGATCCGAAAGCGCTTGGAAAATTTACGTTCAAATTCTCACTGGAAATGAGAAAAACAGTCCCGATTATATAATATATTTTTAAAAAGAGGGATTTCTTCATAAATAGACACTATGTTCCAGATCAGACCAAACTCATAAATAATTACATAGGTCACACTACTACATGCATATCTAGACGACTTACTTTACACCTATCCGACCACAGCTCCATTTGAACTCATTTAAACACACACACAAACCAGACTCCATCCGACACATACTGGTAGAAAATACAAATAGAAAATACTAGTAGAAAATACAATAATAACCTCATCCATATGTAAAAAAGATTAAAAATAATAGAAACCTTAATAATAAAAAAAGAAAAATCCTACACTCAATAATATTAACAACGAACACGGCCACAATGTGCTGACAGTGTTCAGAAAATATGACATCCCTATAACTCTAAAAATAAACGCACAACACATACATCCAAATGATATAAATAAATAAAATCAACCTTGATAATGGCTAAATGGATAATCTATCTGTACACGTTTAAATCTCTCAGAATTACCGAACAATTCGACAGTTTTTACAGACTCTGTGTCCAGAAAAAGAAAACACTTGATCGTGATCGAACACAAAAAATTAAATAAAAAGCTTAACCGCAGGACCTTGTATGTCGTATTTAATAAAACATTTATAAAAGAGGGATTGCTGTCTAAATACACAATTATCATATATATATATATATATATGCGTCAACAAATATTCCTGCTGCTATGTCCCTAGATCTTCGCTGTTGTATAATATATGGGTTTGTATGCAGGTCACTAGTGGGACTGAAGTGTCACATACGACACAAACATAAAAATTTAATTAGGTTGTCGGATCTTCATCCGTCGAAATTAACAGGAGAGCCCATCATATATGATTATATATATGATTAAATAAGGAATAAACAGGAAAACATTTGTTCAATTCATATATTAAAGGTAAATAAGTGCTCACCGGCCGAAGATGTCATATTTTATTTAATAGGTTTTCTTGAATATTCAGACGGGTAGGCTAAAATAAATAAATATACTTTTTAATAAATAATTGGAGCGTCTATTCAAATACGAGTATCCACTAAAATAACGTTTTGAGTTATATATATCTATATATACATACATACATATATATATGTATATATATATATATATATATATATATATATATATATATATATATATATACTTTTTTCTTCATTATTATAAATTAATCCAAATAAAAAAATCTAACAAACTGATCCCGATAAACTAACCGTTAGAAAAAACAAATAAAGATAATCAATCCAAATAAATACGTGAAGTAATAAACAAATTAAAAACTGTTCCTGCCAAAATAATAGTTAGAATAAAGTAACAAAAATCAACCCCAAAATTGAATAAATAGCTTTAATTATCTCCCCAAACCAAAACAAAACTATTAAACAAGCGATATAAACAAATTTTTACTACTACTAAAACACTGATTAAAATAAAAATAATAAAAATAAATAAATATATAAGATAAGAAATGAAAATAAAAGAATAAAAATAAAAAATAAAAATGAATAAAAACAAGCAAAATAATTTGACCCAAATAAATAAATAAACAAATAAACGACTTCCGGTAAAATAACCACCAAAATAGACAACCCACAATGCACCACTGACACGTATATATAAATAGCCGAGAAAAATAACAGCACTCGTGGCCTGACGATTGCATCTAGCATGAAACAGATTGTCGCCTCTAAGTGTTGTCTTCTATGTTCACTTTTATATTTACACGCTCTATCTCTGATATTGATACTTTATCCCATAAATATAGCACATCTTAAGATATATTTCCTCATATATATATATATATATATATATATATATATATATATAATATATATATATATGATAAAGTGTAAATATATATAAAAGTGCCCATATATATATATATATATGCGTGTGTGTGTGTGTGTGTGTGTGTGTGTAAATTATTTTCAAATAGAGTGTATAAGTAAAGGAACAAAATGGATAAAAAGACATGAGGAAACACTATTCTTAGCCTACACGTTTCGTCCACTGAGGGACTTTATCAAGGCAAATGTTGAGGTCTATTTTGTTGCATGTGTTTGCATACAAAAGCAAAAATATCATTGGTCTAACTTGACTGACCACCTGATGAATATTCATGAACGTTCTCAAATTTAAAAGCCTTGATGAACCAATGATATCCTTGATGTTATATATAAACACGTATAACAAAATAAATCCATACATTTGCCTTACATTTACGTCGGCTAAGAATAGTTTTCCGCTTATATGTATGGGGACGTCATGGTGTAATGGTTAGCAAGCTTGTCTTGCTAAGACAATTACGCCAGCGTAGTGAGTTCGGACCTCACTGGGTACCCCTACTTTCGGCCTTGTGCCACATTTAAGAAACGTTTGGAAAATTAATTTGGGGCATCTCGATGTGGTGTAATGGTTAGCAAGCTTGTCTCACTAGAACAATTACGACTGGGTAATGAGTTCAATCCTCGCTGGCTGCCCCCTAATTTCGGCCTTGTGCCACATATAAACTACGCTCGGAAAATCACTATATATATATATATATATCAGTCATGGATCCAAAGAAAGCTAGCAGTGGTATTGGTCCATTTTTGTCTATGATGAATCATAGGGTTAACAAGACCTACTCTGAAGAGACTGAACTTATGTGTTTTTGTTGAAGATTTTTTTTTTTAATTTTTATATATATATATATATATATATATATATATATATATATATATATATATATATATATATATATATATATATATATATATATATATATATATATATATGCATGAAACACTTGTGCATACTATTAATTTATATGGTGTTCCTGAATTTCGCATCTTTGCATATAAATGTTTCTCTGTTAGTTTCAATGGCTACTATTTAGTCCATATATAAGTTTTCTAACATTCAATTTTGAATGTGTGCGCGTCTGCGTTCAGGATTTTACTTTTTATTTTATTTTTTTATTCTTTTCTTTCTTCTTTAATGAATAACTCTGGTTCTACTCGTGTGTATGACGTGTACAGATAGATGCGAATACATGACTGCACATGCACGCTAATGTCACCAAGGGGACGGTAGGATACTCAACATAAGCCGATGAGAAATTCTCAACACCTGAAGTAGTTTGCAACCCCGAGTAAGAAAGATTTTATATCAGATTTCATACTGATTGGACAACAAAAACAAATAATCATAAATGCACTTTTACTGTAACTTCAGACTTCTTTTCACTTTCTTCATCAGCAAATCTCTCTCTCTCTCTCTCTCTCTCTCTCTCTTCCTTCTCTTTCTATCGTCCTTCTCTATTCTTTCTCTCTTACTATTTCTTAACGTCTACTTAATGATGTACTTTCTTTATTGTCAAAAACTACATTCTATATTTTCTCTTCCTTTTTCTTTCTTTTCTCTTTGTCTTCACTTTATACCCAAATGACATTCAATCCAAACAATTTCTTTCTTTCAATGTTACCTATTTTGGATAAATAAAATCAATTATCTAAGCGTTTATTTTAATTAATTTATTTTACTATTTCTAGCGTCCTTTCACAGGAAACTTCATCAGAATGTGATCAGCACAGATAACAACATTTTCTTTTTCTCGCTCTTTAAAATTCGTATTTAATTTTTTTCTTTTCTTTTTTAATTCATCTTGTTTTGTTTCATTTTATTTTCTCTCTATTTTTCTTCACATCTCTTTAACTTTTCTCAACTCTATCTCTTTCTCTCTTCCTCCATCCCCATCTCTCCTCTCTCTCTCTCTCTCTCTCTCTCTCTCTCTCTCTCTCTCTCTCTATCAAAATCATATTCAATATCAACCACCCTTCAATGTTTTTTTGTATTCTTTCTGTTCATCATCTTCATCCCCTCTTGGGCATCTCGCCGAAGAGCTTGCAAGCTTTTCCCGCAGATCATTAATTGTGAGCTAGATCCCCACTGAATGCTCCAAACTTGTGGCCTTGCACCAAACTTACCATATGCTTAGTAAATCATAACACTTTTCTTCTGCTGATTGTCTCTGTTTCTTTTTCTTTCTTCTTCTAATTGATTCTTCTCTTCCAGTTTCTTTTTCTTCATTCCTTTAATTCATTCTCCTCTTCCCGTTTCTTTCCTTCATTCATCTAATTAATTCTTCTCTTCCCGTTTCTTTTTCTTCATTCCTTTAATTCATTCTCCTCTTCCCGTTTCTTTTCCTTCATTCATCTAATTCATTCTTCTCTTCCCGTTTCTTTTTCTTCATTCCTTTTATTCATTCTCCTCTTCCCCCGTTCTTTTTCCTTCATTCATCTAATTCATTCTTCTCTTCCCTGTTTCTTTTTTCTTCATTCCTTTTATTCATTCTTCTTCTTCCGTTTCTTTTCCTTCATTCATTCATCTAATTCATTCTTCTCTTCCCGTTTCTTTTTCTTCATTCCTTTAATTCATTCTCCTCTTCCCGTTTTTTTCCTTCATTCATCTAATTCATTCTTCTCTTCCCCCGTTTCTTTTTTCTTCCTTTAATTCATTCTCTTCTCTTCCCATTTTCTTTTCCTTCATTCATCTAATTCATTCTTCTCTTCCCATTTCTTTTTTCCTTCATTTCCTTTAATTCATTCTTCTCTTCCCGTTCTTTTTTCCTTCATTCATCTAATTCATTCTTCTCTTCCCGTTTCTTTTTTCTTCATTTCTTCTTTAATTTTCCTTCATTCCTTTAATTCATTCTTCTCTTCCTGTTTATTTTTCTTCATTCCTTTAATTCATTCTTCTCTTCCCGTTTCTTTTCTTCCTTCATTCATCTAATTCATTCTTCTCTTCCTGTTTTTTTTCTTCTTTAATTCATTCTTCTCTTCCGTTTCTTTTCCTTCATTCATCTAATTCATTCTTCTCTTCCCATTTTTTTTTTCATTCCTTTAATTCATTCTTCTCTTCCAGTTTCTTTTCTTCATTCATTAATTCATTCTTTCCCTAATTCTTTTCCTTCATTCTTTATTCATTCTTCTCTTTCCCGTTTCTTTTTCTTCATTCCTTTAATTCATTCTTCTCTTCCCGTTTCTTTTCCTTCATTCATCTAATTCATTCTTCTCTTCCCGTTTCTTTTTCTTCATTCCTTTAATTCATTCTTCTCTTCCCGTTTCTTTTCCTTCATTCATCTAATTCATTCTTCTCTTCCCGTTTCTTTTTCTTCATTCCTTTAATTCATTCTCCTCTTCCCGTTTCTTTTCCTTCATTCATCTAATTCATTCTTCTCTTCCCGTTTCTTTTCATTCCTTTAATTCATTCTCCTCTTCCCGTTTCTTTTTCTTCATTCATCTAATTCATTCTTCTCTTCCCGTTTCTTTTCTTCATTCTTTAATTCATTCTTCCTCTTCCCGTTTCTTTTCCTTCATTCATCTAATTCATTCTTCTTCTTTCTTTTTTCCATTTTTTATTCATTCTCTTTCCCCGTTCTTTTCTTCTTCATCCTCCTCTTCCCGTTTCTTTTCTTCATTCATCTAATTCATTCTCCTCTTCCCGTTTTTTTTTTCTTCATTCCTTAATTCATTTTCCTTCCCGTTTCTTTTCCTTCATTCATCTAATTCCATTTCTTCTTCTCTTCCCATTTCTTTTCCTTTTTCATTCATTCTTTAATTCATTCTCCTCTTCCTCTTCTTTTCCTTCATTCATCTAATTCATTCTTTCCTTTTCTTTTTCTTTCATTCATCTAATTCATTCTCCTCTTCCGTTTCTTTTTCTTCATTCATTTAATTCATTCTCCTCTTCCCCATTTCTTTTCCTTCATTCATCTAATTCATTCTCCTCTTCCCGTTTCTTTTTCATCTTTCATTCATCTAATTCATTCTCCTCTCCCGTTTCTTTTTCTTCATTCCTTTAATTCATTCTCCTCTTCCCGTTTCTTTTCCTTCATTCATCTAATTCATTCTCCTCTTCCCGTTTCTTTTTCTTCATTCCTTTAATTCATTCTCCTCTTCCCATTTCTTTTCCTTCATTCATCTAATTCATTCTCCTCTTCCCGTTTCTTTTCCTTCATTCATTCATTTTCAATCTCATTTCTCTTCTTCATTTTTTTTTCCTTCATTCATTCCTTCATTCATCTATTCTCTCCTCTTCCCATTTCTTTTTTCTTCATTCATTTAATTCATTCTTCTCTTCCCGTTTCTTTTCCTTCATTCATCTAATTCATTCTCCTTCTTCCGTTTCTTTTCTTTTCATTCATTTAATTCATTCTCCTCTTCCTGTTTCTTTTCTTCATTCATCTAATTCATTCTCCTCTTCCCGTTTCTTTTCCTTCATTCATCTAATTCATTCTCCTCTTCCTGTTTCTTTTCTTCATTCCTTTTAATTCATTCTCCTCTTCCCGTTTCTTTTCCTTCATTCATCTAATTCATTCTCCTCTTCCCGTTTCTTTTTCTTCATTCCTTTAATTCATTCTCCTCTTCCCGTTTCTTTTTCTTCATTCATTTAATTCATTCTTCTCTTCCCATTTCTTTTTCTTCATTCCTTTAATTCATTCTTCTCTTCCCGTTTCTTTTCCTTCATTCATCTAATTCATTCTCCTCTTCCCGTTTCTTTTTCTTCATTCTTTTAATTCATTCTCCTCTTCCCGTTTCTTTTCCTTCATTCATCTAATTCATTCTTCTCTTCCCGTTTCTTTTTCTTCATTCTTTAATTCATTCTCCTCTTCCCGTTTCTTTTTTCCTTCATTCATCTAATTCATTCTCCTTTCCCGTTTCTTTTCTTCATTCTTTTAATTCATTCTCCTCTTCCCGTTTCTTTTCTTCATTCATCTAATTCATTCTCCTCTTCCCGTTTCTTTTCATTCTTTTCTAATTCATTCTTCTTCTCTTCCTGTTTCTTTTCCTTCATTCATTAATTCATTTCTTTCTCTTCCATTTCTTTTCTTCATTCCTTTAATTCATTCTTCTCTTCCCTTTTTTTTTCCTTCATTCTACAATTCATTCCTCTTCCCATTTCTTTTCTTCATTCCTTTAATTCATTCTCCTCTTCCCTGTTTCTTTTCCTTCATTCATCTAATTCATTCTTCTCTTCCCGTTTCTTTTTTTCTTCTTCATTCCTTTTAATTCATTCTCCTCTTCCTTTTTTTTTTCCTTCATTCATCTAATTCATTCTTCTCTTCCCCTTCTTTTTCTTCATTCTTTTTAATTCATTCTCCTCTTCCCATTTCTTTTTCCTTCATTCATCTAATTCATTCTCCTCTTCCCATTTCTTTTTTTTCATTCATCTAATTCATTCTCTCCTCTTCCTGTTTCTTTTCCTTCATTCATTTAATTCATTCTTCTCTTCCCATTTCTTTTTTTCATTCATTCATTTAAATTCATTCTCCTCTTCCCGTTTCTTTTTTTTTTTCATTCATTTAATTCATTCTTCTCTTCCCGTTTCTTTTCTTCATTCCTTTAATTCATTCTTCTCTTCTGTTTCTTTTCCTTCATTCATCTAATTCATTCTCCTCTTCCCGTTTCTTTTTCTTCATTCCTTTAATTCATTCTCCTCTTCCCGTTTCTTTTCCTTCATTCATCTAATTCATTCTTCTCTTCCCGTTTCTTTTTCTTCATTCCTTTAATTCATTCTCCTCTTCCCGTTTCTTTTCCTTCATTCATCTAATTCATTCTCCTCTTCCTTCCTAATTCTTTTTCTTCATTCCTTTTTTCTTCATTCATTCTTCTCTTCCCGTTTCTTTTTCCTTCATTCATCTAATTCATTCTTTCTTCCCATTTCTTTTTCTTCATTCATCTAATTCATTCTCCTCTTCCCGTTTCTTTTTCCTTCTTCATTCCTTCATAATTCATTCTCCTCTTTTTTTCTCTTTCCTTCATTCATTTAATTCATTCTCCTCTTCCCATTTCTTTTCTTCATTCATTTAATTCATTCTCCTCTTTTCTTCATTTCTTTTTTTTCTTCTTTCATTCTTTTAATTCATTCTTCTCCTCTTCCCGTTTCTTTTTCTTCATTCCTTTAATTCATTCTCCTCTTCCTGTTTCTTTTCCTTCATTCATCTTCCTGTTTCTTTTCTTCATTCATTCTCTCTTCCTGTTTCTTTTCTTCATTCTTTTAATTCATTCTCCTCTTCCCGTTTCTTTTCCTTCATTCATCTAATTCATTCTCCTTTTCGTTCTTTTCTTCATTCATTAATTCCTTCTCTTCCCTTTCTTTTCCTTCATTCATCTTTTCATTCATTCTCAATTCTTTCTTCCCCTGTTTTCTTTTTTCTTCATTCCTTTTCTAATTCATTTTCCTCTTCCTGTTTTTTTCCTTCATTCATCTCTTTTCTTCATTCCCCGTTTTTTTCATTTCTTTTTAATTCATTCCTCCCTTTCTTTTTTTCTTCATTCATTTAATTCATTCTTCTCTTTTTCTTCATTTCTTTTTCTTCATTCATTCTTTTCATTCTCCTCTTCCCGTTTCTTTTTAATTCATT